GCCCCGGGCCCAGCCGCCTTCGGATCGACAGCGGCGACGGCGTGATCGCCGCCGCCCACATCTACATCGTCGTCCATCGTCATCGTCGTCCTCCTCCTCCTCCTCCTTTCTCCCCCTCCTTCCTCATTCCTCCTCCTCCTCCTCCTCCTCCCCCTCCTCCTCCTCCTCTTCCTCCTCCTCCTCCTCTCCCTCCTCCTTCGTTTCTCCTCCTCCCTTCTCCTCCCTCATCCCATCTCCTTCCTTTCTCCCTCCCCACTTCCCCCCTCCTTCTCCTTCTCTGTCTCCTTCTCTTTGTCCTTCTCCTTCTCCTTCTCCTTCTTCTTCTCCTTCTCCTTCTCCTTCTCCTTCTTCTCTTCCTTCTCCTTCTCCTTATATGCAGCCCTTCTGGTCACTACTAGGCTGGTGGCCCTTCTTCGCGCACACGGCAAAATCGGTAACGGACGGGCCGGCAGACCCCAGCTGCCGACCTCTGGCGCCAGCATTCCTGCGCCTGGCTCGTCGCTTTGCTCCGCCTCTCCGGGGCGTCTCGTCGCACAGCCCTCCCGAGCTGCACGGCCGTCCCCACCCCCCCGCGCATGCCTTCCGGTTGCGCTGCCGTGCGAATCCACCGCCGCACCCAGGGTTTAGGGTTAGGTGGAGGGGGAGGGGGAGGGGGCGAGAGCGGTGCCGATGCCGACGCCCTTCCCTGGTGGTTTCCTCGCTGGGCCTTCCCGCGTGGCCCTCAGGGCCACGCGGGACCGCCGCAAGCGCGCGGCCGCGATGGGGCAGCCCGCCACGGCGACGGAAGACCTGCCAGATTTGCCGTCAGGGCTCGGCCGCCCCTGCGCGGCCGCGGGGCGGCTGGGGCGCGCGCCCGCTCGGGCGGGTTTCTTGGCGTCGCTCGGGCGTTTTTTTTTTTCTTTGTTCCCCCCCCGTCTTCTCGGGGAGAGCCATCGAGAAACATGTTGGGTTACTTTTGCGAAGCACGGAGCCGAAGCATGCACGAGGAATGGGCGTCCGAGCGATGGCGAGGCTGTTTTATACAGTAGGCACGCACGGCAAGAGCTTCTGCTGCAAACGAGCCCTTGGGGCACATGCTTCGTCGATCCCTGAGGTCCCGAAGGTGGTGGCCGCAGAGCTTCTGTGGGTCGCTGGGCCATCGGGGGATGCGAGATTCCGGTGGTGCACCTGCTGGCAGGCCGCTCTCTTACGGTGGGGGCGTTCGTCAAGGAAGGCTCCCAGGAGGCTTCAGACCCTGGAGGGTTGCTTCTCTGATGAGGGCGGCGGCGATATCCATGGCCAATCCATGATTGGCTTTTCACTGGTTTCCAGACCTTGGATTCCTTATCCAATGATTCCTTATCCAATGCCCTCGCCGTCCGCAGCCATTTTGGCTCAAGGCCAAACTGGATCTCTACGAACTGCCTCAGCGGGGTAGGCTCCCTTCCAACGATTCAGCTTTGCAGCTACTTCTGGGGCGAGCTGCCGCCCATCTGCATATCCTACGCCAGCCGAGCGCTGGCCGTGCGCAGCGGCCATGGGTAAGCAGGCAGATCCTGGCTTCATCAAGTGCGCGAAGTGCTCGTCCAAGTGGACGTGGCGCGGCCGCTCGACTTGTTTCCAGTGCGGGAAGGAGTTCGAACTCGAGCGTCCTCGTCCGTCGCGCGATGAGCCCCAGGGTGTGTGGCAGCATGGCCCTGGCTCCAACAGGGAGAAGGACGGCGACTGGCGCGACTGGGAGTCCTGGCCGAAGAGTCGGCGCTCTCCGAAGAGAGCTGTTCCGAAGGCTGAGGAGGCCAAGCCGTCGCGGCCCACCTGTGAGGAGGCCTTTGCTGTGCTGCTGGAGGCGGCGCCGCACTTCGTGGGGGACTCCACGATCGCCGAGATCAAGGGTAAACTCCCTCCGCCGCCTCCGCCTGTGCCGCCGCGCGATCCGAACTACGAGTGCCAACACCAGTGCACGCTCGAGCGGAAGGCCACGTTTCGCCTACAGAAGTGCGTGGGGTCGGAGAAGAAGTGCCATGACTGGTACGTGGCGGCCCAGCTGGCGAGCCAGGAGGCTGCACGCGAGGTGGCGCTGGCCAAGAAAGGCGCCGAGGCCAGCGCGAGCGCAGCCATCCGCAGGCAGCTTCATCCCAGCCTGAGGGTGCGTTCGCGCCGAAGCTTGCGGCGACCCTCAACCTCAGCACGCTCTTCGAGTCCGACGACTTCCACTTCGAGGCTGGGCCCGCCTTCGCCGTGGAGGGGCTGGACCTCGACAGTTCGGAGGTGGAGGCGCTGCACGCGCTGCAGGCCAGGTTCGCGAAGGAACTCAAGGCGAAGGTTGCGGAGCTCTTCGGCGAGGCGGCCAGCAACCTCGGCCAGTGCCGCAGTGAGGCAGCCGCGATGCGCGAATGCCTCAAGGGGAAACGGCAGCGGCGCGCCGAGGCCAGCGGCGAAGCTGCGGCTGCAGGGGCAGGAGGGGACGCGGCGCGGGCACCTGGCCCAGCGCCTGCAGCACCCGCTGCAGAAGCGATCCCCCCCCGCAGCGGCCAGCGCTGCAGCGCCGGCCAACCCAGGAGCAGCGGCTGCTACGGCTGCTGCGGGCCCTGCTGGCGTCGCTCCTGGGCCTGTCGCCACTGTGGTCCAACTGCATCGAGTGCGTCATGCTGGACAGGCGCTGCAACCTGGAGGAGGCCGAAGGCTTCTGCGAGAGGGCCCGGCGCAGAGCGGGGCCCAGCAGGGTAGCGACGCTGCTCCACCTGGACAGGCTCGGAGCGATTCCCGACCCAGAGCTCGCTGCCTGGAAGCGCGAGGTCAACAGGATTTGGGATGCTGAGGGCGAGGTCGAGCAGGAGTTTCGACGGCTCGCGCCCCCCTCAGCAGGTTCGACGAGAGGAAGGCTGCCACGACGACGTCGGCCCCGTGCAGCTCTCCCTGGGCGGGGTCCCAATGGGCAGGGGGGGCAGGGATTCAGCCACTGGTCACCGTGCCCCCTGTCCTCGGGCGCTACATCTTCACGCTCGAGCTCGCCTTCGTTGGCTCGAGATGGTCAGGGCGGGCCTCGGCGCGCCCTTCGAGCGCCAAGGCTCCTCACGCCGCCGCTGCTGGACGCGGCGCCAGAGAGATGTCCGAACGATATTCAGTGAGTTCGATCTGGTCAGGACGGACCCTGGCGTGCTCCTCGAGCGCCGAGGCTCCTCGCGCGGCCGCGGCTTGACGCGCCACCTGAGAAATGTCAAAACGCCTTTCAGCAAGCCCGGAGTGGTCAGGACGGACCTCGGCGTGCTCCTCGCCGAGGCTCCTTGCATCGCCGCGACGGCCACATGAGTCGATGATGGAACCAGAGACGGCAGCACGCTTCATCAGTTTGTCCGAGATGGCGAGCGTTCCCTCTGTCAGCCCTGCCACCATCGCGTCGATCAGCGGATCCACTTGGGCAGCAATGCAGACAGCTGTTGAGCACTTCCAGGGCGACTGCGGCAAGTGCGACATCTTCTATGCATCCTCAAGCTCGAGCTCGTCATCGTTGGCTCGAGATGGTCAGGGCCGACCTCGGCGTGCCCCTCGAGCACCGAGGCCCCTCGCGTTGCCACTGCTGGGCGCGGCGCCAGCGAAATGGCAGAACGATTGTCGGCAGACTCGAGAGGGTCAGAACGGGCCTTGGCGCGCCCCTCGCGCGCCGAGGCTCCTCGCGCCGCCGCAGCGGGACGCGTCGCCAGATCAGCGTCAGAGCGCACTTCAGCCAGCTCCATGTGGCCAAGGCGCACCTCGGCGTGCCCCTCGACCGCCGAGGCCCAGCATCGCCACGACAGCCAGACATGAAAGAGACTGCACCAGAGACGACAACCCACATCATCAGCTTGTCAGAGATGGAGTGCCCCCACAGTCAGCCCTGCCAGCATCGCGACGATTCGTGGATCCACTTGGGCAGCTGCGCAGACGGCGGTTGAGCACTTCCTTGACGACAGCGGCAAGGGCGACATCTACCTCATCCAGGAAACCCGCTCCACTTCGGGCTGCGCTATGGGGGCTGACAGAGGATGGTGCTCTCGCAGCGGCTTGGGCGCCGCCATCAGCCCCTTCAAGAGGGCAGGCGAGGCTGTGCAGGCGGTGTCTTCTGGGGCCGGCGTCCTCGCGGCGGCGCGCCGTGGTGCGCGCGCCGTCGACCAGGCCTGGGGCGATTTCAATGCGCACATCCTGGCTCGAAGGCTTGTCTTTGGAGACTTGGCCCCAGTGATGGCGAGTGCCTGCCTGGGGCGCGCGACCAAGCTCCAGGGCCTCAACGTTAGCCTGCTGGCGGAGTTGCAGGAGTTCCCCAACGGCCTGGACGAGCTGTCCGTGGTCGGCGCCGACTGGAACATGGAGCCCCAGATCCTCGAGACCTCCTGGTGGCCGAGGGCGGTGGGCGGTGTTGCGGTGTCGCCGCGACGCCCGACATGCGGGGGAGTGATCTACGACTACTTCGTCGTCTCGGCCTCCCCGGCAGCGCTGAGCCCCGAGGCCGCCGCTGTCTGGCCATCCACCGCGGACCCCCGCGCCCCCGTCAGGCTCTCCTTCAGCAAGCTGGGTTCGCTGGCCAAGGTCCGGGTGCTTCAAGGGCCTCGACACTTCGACGCCGCAGCCAAGCTCTCGCCCGAAGAGCTGAGTCGCGCTGAGGATGCTGCGCTCGAGGTCTGCCGGGGGGCCCAGCTGCCTGGCGAGGCCGGCTTTCCCGGCGAGGCGGCCGAGGAGTTCTTCCGCGCGGCCGAGAGGCACCCGATCGACATTCTCGCCGCCAGCAACGGCGCCAAGTACCGCGGGCGCGCCCAAGGACCACAGCGGGCGCTGAAGGCCTTGAAGGACCTCCAGCGCTCCGCGACCGCCAGGAGAGTCAGCCTGCTCACTCGGATGTGGACCCTCCTCAGCAGGCTCTCTCGGCAGCTTCGCGCCGCGGCGGCCATCGCGCAGCGCTCCGAGAAGAATAAGTCGCACATCTTTCACCTGGAGCAGGCGGCGCTGGCCCTAGCGCCCCAGTTTGACAAGCTCGGGCGCTCCGTGTT